CCATAAACTGGAGCTATGTGCCCTGACCGGGAATAAATCCAGTGAACTTTTGGTTCATGGGATGATGCTCAACCAACTGAGCCACCGTGGCCAGGGATAAACCATCTTTTTACTTTAACTTATTTTACCCCGGCTGCTCCCACTAAGTTCCCCAACTCTTCTGCTCATGTGTTCAGAAATCGTTCGTAAATTTTGTCCTGCCCATGACCCTCTGCTCCTGTCTCCTTTCTCCTTGTGCTCCTGTCCCACTTTCTCCCTTGGACTTCTGTGTCCTAGTGGAGCCTCCAAAGTCAGCGGATGGGCCTGTGAACAGCTGTGTCCCAGTCCCTTCAATCACATGGGCTCAGTGCCTCCCTTGACCTTCAACCTCCTCCAGGCTGTCAGGCATGACTAATGTTTACCTTCTCTCACCAACCACCAAACGCTCTCAGCTCGGCCTATCCTTCATTCGCTTCATGGAGTCACTGTAGTGGAAGGCTTGGTGAGCCTGATCATATCAATTCTGGTTGATAGAATGTCAGTTTACCCCCTGACTTTCTGGGTATAATTACGGAATAATTCATTTGCTGGTTTCTCCTTCTCTGAAGGCCTCTAAAACCGAGGAATAAAATTTGGTGGACCCTGCATGTTTCCAACTTCAACATAGGGGTGATTACAATTTAGGATTTTTTTTTGCTCTGTGTTACCCACTTCAATATATGGGAAATGGAGCAATGAAGTTTTCCTGAAACTCTGATACCAGATCAGGTGTTTTTTTATAAACAGATTTAAGAAGTAAAAAGGTTTTATGATACTACATTAAAAACGATTTTTACAATGCTTTTGCCCTCCAAATTCCAAAAGAATATCAACCAGTTGAATAACTCATCTACAATGAGGAAAATACAACTGCTTTGCTGTCAAATGCACATACACGGACCCATAGCTAATCCACAGTAAAAACAAAATAAAATCAAACCTTGTAGAACTCTGTGGTGTCCCTACCTGTGGCCACTGAATCAAACACATCCCTGGGGAAAGTAATCACATGCTTATCTACTGCGAAGTGTCTTTCATTCTAGGATTGTAGCCTGCATTACAGTCCAATGATACTGGATAAACACAAAGGAAAGATTTGCTTTTACAGCAATATTGACGTGATGCTGTCAGAAACAACTTAGCATTAAAATTGATTGCTGTTTGTGACTATCCCAGTGGTTGTCTGGTGGCCTCTAGGCCAGAAAGTCTAAATTAATGATTAGTAAATAATGATTCATTTTGTCAAGGTAATCAGACTTGAATAATGTTTCTAAGTTTTGTGTCATTTTTTCTTCTTCACATCACTATAAGAATATCAGTGTGGAGTCCAGTTAGGATTAACAAGCCATCTTTTCACTTGTAGAAAACTGAAGCACCTGAAAAAAAAAAAAAAGAATAATTATAAAAGTGTGTAAATCCCTCGACTTGGTGTGAGAGAAGAACAATAAATAGTTGAAAAATTGAACTGGTAAGCTTTATGGCTATGAATAAATACATTGAGGTAGTTATTTATTCTCCCTTGGCCCCCACATCTTCATTTATAAAATAAGAAGCTAGATGAGCCCTGGCCGGGTAGCTTAGTTGGTTGGAGCATGGTCCCGATGCACCACGGTTGCAGGTTCTATCCCCAGTCAGGGCATATACAAATATCAACCAACAAATGCATAAATAAATGGAACAACAAATCAATGTTTTTTTCTCTCTCTCCCTCTCTTTTCCTCTCTCTGAAATCAACAAAAACATTTTAAACAAATAAAAAAAAGAAACTGGACTTACACACTTGTGTCATCATAAATTTCCATAGAACACAAAGGACTGGATCAGTTTTTCTGAGTAATTATCTTTCAGCTTACTGATCTTACCTTTCAGAAAAGTGACAGCAGTGCTATGCTATGGGGATAGACCAAGGTCTAAATGTCTTAGGGTCATCTCTTGGGATCTAAGAAAGAAAGCAAAATCAAAACAATATCGTAAGACCACTGCATATATTTCACCAGGAAAATTATATCAAATCTGTAGATTTGGGGAAATTTTTCTGATGGAAGGAGGTAGCTTTTCCTGGGGAATACCCTTTCTTTCCAGGGTCAACTCTGAAGAGACAGGGGGTCTGGTATTGTGATATCTGCTGCTCTTCTCGTTGTTAAGTAAGAAGACGCTCTATTAGTTATCTATCCTTTTTACTTCCAAGATGTGAATATAATTCTCACAGAGAATTATATTTCCCATGAACCCATTTGCAGGGTTAGGGAGGGTGGGAAGGGGAGTGGTTAGGTTGAGAGTTGTTTGTGTTGGAGCCTAGGGACCAGGACTCCTGTGCCATGATTTGAGAGCAGCTCTGTCTACACCTTTAGCGAAATGGTTTTTGTCCAGAACCCTTGCCAGTTAAAACCCAGGCTCATTTCCCTATCCTGGCCTTCAAGCCCCAAGAACTTGACTCATGAATCCTTCCTTCTTGTGGTCCTCAAGTCCTGTTTCCTCTGGTGGGAATGCTCTCCCTTAGGTCTGGCCAAAAAAGCAGAAATTACATTCCTTGCCTCTGCTGTTATGCTTTTTTTTGTCCAAAGAGTTGACTTTTAGTTACACAGGTGTAAAAGCACAAACCTCCCATAAATAATGAAAAGTTATGAGGGTTCCAAAAAGCTTTCCTCCTAATATTTATTGCATAAAAGTACAAAAAGAAGACACCCCCCCCCAAAAAAAAACAAAACAACCACCCAACTCCTATCAGGGTAACTTGACAAATTCTACTCTTCCTGTTTGCTCTTAATCTGTAATGAAATATGAATGGAGGGCTAGGTTCGCCCTTCACAAAGAGACGTCCCTGATTCTCTACTTAGCTGCTGCGACGGGTACCTTATTTACAATCAGCCCGTGGCACCTGCGCTGGGCAGGCTGGATGCTGGACAAAGCTCCTCAGTCTAGTCTGAGGTCGATTCAGGTCAACTCTCCTGCTAAAGGTGATGGCAATTTTTAGTCTCTTCCAAAACCTGCCTCCTGTCCTTTCCAGCAGACCTGGGTTCCTGGAGTACCCTTGGTTTTGGGACCCAGATCAACACTCATTATCTTGCTACCTCGGCCTTGTTGGGTCTTACCTCCTCCCTAGCTCCTTGAATGAGGACATAACTTGCTTTTTTTTTTTTTTTTTTCAGAGACCCAGACCTGGGACTTAAGCTGCTCTTCCTTGGCCTTTGGTGACCTTCCCTTTATCTTCCCTCTTGCTTGGGGCCATCGACCCCTTCCTCCCTCCTCCTCTTCCTCCCTGGTTGGTTCTTGATAGCTAGAGTGAAGGCAATATGTTCGCAATGGCCATCAAGATGGAGTCCACTTTTAGTTAAATCTCAGCTTCTGAGATAGGTCTGTATCCGGTCTCATTGGTGTCAAGGTCTAGTGTCAGTGGTAGCTGCCATCATCCAGAATTCCTCCTCCTCATCTTCATCGTCATTATTGTGTGGTAAAGGATTAACTCAGCAGGCTTGGGTTATCCAACCTCTGCACATTCCAAAGAAAGAGCCCTCGACCAACCCCGGGGAGATATAACACCTAAATAAACCCTTGAAGGATCCTGCCTGATTAGAGTGTCTTTGTCTACCTGAGGCGTTGGGCCAGGGGGCATCACCTGGCCTCTGGAAGGGCTGGACACAGTAACTCAGGTCAGCGCTGCAGGTGACCTGTGCTACGTCACTGATCCCTAGTGAGAACCCAGAACGCCAGACTCAGGTGAGGTTCCCAGGTGGTGGACACTTTGTGTTCCTTCTCCCACCTTGTTGCTGGGAGAATGCAGTGCTGTTGGTGTAGCTCCACCGGGAGAGGCCGCTGGAAGCTCCTACCCAGTCTCTCCTGGACTTCGCCCTATCTGCCTTGCCCTTGGCGGATGTTAATCTGTATTCTCTCATGGAAGAAACCAAAACCAGGACTACAACGGCATTCTAAGTCCTGTGAGTCCATCCAGAACAGCGGTTCTCAACCTGTGGGTCGTGACCCCTTTGGGGGTCGAACGACCCTTTCACAGGGGTTGCCTAAGACCATCGGAAAACACATATATAATTACATATTGTTTTTGTGATTAATTACTATGCTTTAATTATGTTCAATTTGTAACAATGAAATTGGGGGTCACCACAACATGAGGAACTGTATTAAAGGGCTGCGGCATTAGGAAGGTTGAGAACCACTGATCTAGCAAGTCTCTGAAACTGATGGTGCTCCTGGGGACTTCAGACTCCATCATCATCATCATCATCATCATCATCACCATCATCATCAATGTACATTGGCCACTACCTATGTAAGGTCAACTGCTAAATGCTTTCCACATATTATCTACTTAAACCTTACAACAACCCTGTGTGGGAATTATAATTATCCTCTCCACACGCCTCCTCCCCCATTTTATAGATGAGGACACGGAGTGATCAGAAGAGTAACTAAATCCCAAAAGGGAGAGCTGAGATGCCAGCCTGTCCTCCGGCTCCAGGCCGTGTCCTCACTGAGTTAAAGCAGTGCCTGTTACGCCTTTCCCTCCCGAGGTAAAATCTCTTTCTGTCTCACATCCTGCCTTCCTCCCTCCCTCTCTTAATCTCAGGGAATTCAGCTTTGCCTTCTTCCCCTCTCTCTTC